TTCCCCCGCGGCAGCGCGAAGGCGGCGCGGAACGCGGGTTCCTGGCGGGGTGAGCCTGGAGCGGGGGCTGGGGGGGGGTCTCCAGCACGGGGGACGGAAGGAAGGACCCCCACCAGGGGCACCCTCCTTTCCTGGGAGCCCCCAGGAGCCAGCTGTCCCCGGCAGGAAGCCGCGCGCGGGTTGATGGTTTTGGGGGGTGGGGGGAAAGGTAAAGAAAAGCCCCTCGTGTTGGCGCCGCGGTGCCCGCTGCGCGTGCGGAGGGAGGCGCGAGGTCGGGAGACCTGGAGCGCGATTTCCCTGGAGGGAAATGCCAGGGAACGGGCGGCGGAGGTACCCCCGCCCTGGGGGTATGGCAGGTGCCTGCCCTGCTGACCCCACGGGGTGGAAATGAAGCAAAAAGAGCAAATATGGAAATCGTCTCACCAGCTTCTCGAGGCGAATAACCAGACTGTGTGCATCCATGTGCATTTTCCCTACGTGTATCACCACCCTGGTTGCTTGCTAGAGCAGAGACAAGGACCATACATTTCTCAGAATGGGGGCTTTTGGACCTGCCCACAGCAGCATCCCTGTGCAAGCAAGGCCAAATCTGTGGCTGGTGTACAGCTCTCCACAGCCATGCCTGATTCACCCTGGACAGGCCCGTGGAGGTACCCAGAGCAGAGAGAAACAGCCTTCCCCACACCCTGCCCATCAGAGAGTTAGTGCAGGCCCTTCTTTTCAGGTGGCTTTGGGAATCCTCTCTCACAGGGCCACCTGCTCAGCCGAAGTGTGTTTCACCACAGCCCTTCCGTGAATTGCTGTTGGTTGTTTCCAATAATGAAATAGTAGTTAAAATATTTCATGGGTGAAAGATGTTCAGCACTGGAATTTATGGCAGGAGAGGAGAGTTCTTTGCTTGTCAGGAACTGATTCTCTTTTCCCTGCATAATACCGAGGCACAGAACTGATGAACGTGTATCAGGAGCATGTTTTCACTTGTTTTGGGAACACTGTGCATTCCCAATTCATAATGTGTAATGTTTATCTCTGTGCTTTTAACAATCACTTGACCCTGCCACATGTGGCTTACCAAGCAAAGAAAATGCAGCATCTTTATCGTTTGCCATGCCAATCTCCAAAGATCTGCAGAACACTTCCCACATATGTTAGGAATATACCCAAGAAACAGGTGCATGTCCATGGTAATAGACAGGGGAATTGCCCCTAGGTGTTTTGAAAATTCAGGCTGGCCCTTAGTCACATCTCATGCTGTTCCTGCCCGCTTTGAAACTGCACTGAGGCAGCAGCCGCCTTCCTGGCAAGGTCAGGCATTCTCTGAGATGCTGGGCATAAAGACTTAGACTGGGAGATTACTACAAAAACAAACAAGAAAAATCCCACCCTGGAAATTGCTGCAGCATATAATAGCTCTGATTTAGTTTCCACTTCTGAAGAAAATAGATGTTTTCCTCACCCAGTGTAACAGTCTTTTCCCTAAACACATGCTAAGAGAAACCTCTAGCAAACAGTTTCAGTTTCATGGGTAAGCCCTGGGCTAGGCATGTTGACTGTTTAGCTGGAAAGGAATCTGTACTCACTGGCAGGAATTTCTTGTGTTTGGTAGTTGATTTGGGGGATAAAGGAAGTGTGAGGGCTGGTCTGGAGGGACCTGGGGAGGGGCAGAGTCCTAGGGAAAGGAGATCAGAGCTTGCTGAGTGTGTTCATTGCTGCCTTTCCTTTCTGTCCCGCTCCCTTCACCCAGATGGCTCCTTCCCGATGAGCCAGCGTAGCTTCCCGCCATCCTTCTGGAACAGCACGTACCAGCCTTCCTCAGTCCCAGCCACCCTGAGCAGCCCCTTGGCAGCTGCCACCCACAGCGAGCTGCCCTTCACCGCCGCCGCCGACCCCTACGCGCCCGCCTCCCTGCACGGCCACCTGCACCAGGGGGGCCCCGAGGCCTGGCACCACGCTCACCACCATCACCACCACCACCATCACCACCCCTACATCGGGACACAGAGCACTGCCTACCCCCGCCCTGCTGCCATGCACGAGGTCTACGGGCCCCATTTTGACCCCCGCTACAGCTCTCTCCTGGTGCCCACCGCCTCTGTCCGCCCCCACCGCCTCACCCCTGCCTCTGTGCCCACACCAGTCAGCCCCCCCTGTGAACTGGGCAAGAGTGAGCCGGGCACTGCAGCTGCCTGGACGACGCCAGGACCCTTCCCCAGCGCCGCGGGGGACATGGCACAGAGCCTCGGCCTCAATGTGGACACAGGTAAAGTACAGCCCTCTGCCCCTCGGAGTCCCTCCAGTTCAGCTACTTCCCTACTCCCCACGTCCCTTGTGCTGCCCAGAATGGTGGGGATGGAACCCCCCACAGTGAGGTGGATGGGGTGCTGCTGTGGGGGAATAAATTGGAGGTGGAAGGCCCAAAGGAGAAACCTGAGCTCTGCCCTGGGTGCCTTTTCTTGGAGCTCTCAGGCCAGGCAAGTGAGGAAGGGGAGAGGGAGAATTGCTCAGGGCAACGCATCAGTCCCCACAACCCTCTTCAAGTTTCTGACACCTGAGGACATGCCCTGAGTGTGCTGGTTGCTGTGAGGTGCTCTTGCCCTGGACTGGGCCCTGTTCTTGCCTTAAGCAGCAAGAGCTGGGAGCAGGACAGAACAGCCCCAAAGGTCACCTCTTGGCTCCCTCCATGGGCTGCCCTGAGGGCAAGTGCATGGACAGCGGCACCAGAGCAGGTCATTTCTAGGCCACTCACAGGTTTATAAACTGCCTTCTCTCAATTTATTTTTTTCCTCACAGTTTCTGATAGGAAAGCACAATTACATATGCTGAGCAAAAAGAGCAATATTATTTTCCTGTGGGATTGGTACTCTGTATCTGGTGGGGTGCCTGGAAATAAGGCTAAGTGACCACAGGGACAAAAAGGTGACACAGGCATAGCCAGCAGTGAAAGTTCCTGAGTCAGTGGTTGTGGAGGCAAGGAAATCTTGCTCTGGTGGCAGATCTCTATGATGAAGTTGACTTATCACAACTACAAATGGCTCCTTATGGTGGCCTTGCTATAGGCAGGAGGAACGTGTGCCTGCCTGTGGTTTAGCTTGGGCTCTCCCCTTTGCTCCACAGCCTCCTCGGGCTCTGGGGGGCCCATGTTTTAGATTGATTCTCTGATCTCAGCTGGCAAAAATGCAGTTTGTCTCTCTCTGTCCTTGAACACCTGTACCTATTTTTCTTCTTCCCTTTTTTCTTCTCTCCATTCTCAGGTTTGCAGCCTCAGGATAAAAGCAAGGATCTATACTGGTTTTAGAGCTGTCCTTCACTCTTCTCCCCCTGGCTCTCCCCTGTAGATCTCTGCCTGTTACACATGGTGGCATTCAGAGCTGAAATCCGGTCAGTTTGTAACAGCTTCTGATCTTGGTTTGCAGCTCATCGTTACTCCTTCTGTGGTGGATCCCTTCTGAGCTGATCTGCTGACTCAAAGACTCCCAGATCTCCCCTTGCCCGTCTCCAAGTCCACCGTGGCCCTGCAGCTCGGGGAAAGACAACAGGACTAAAAAGGACCTGGATTTGTAAGGACGGTACTCTAGGCTTATTTTGGAGAGGAAAATCCTTCTGCTGCAACAGGACAGCCAAAGACATTAACTTCTATTTAAGGAGACCCCATACCCAGAACTGCAGTCAGACTACTCTAAAAGGGTCAAATGACGTCATGGATTGTGATGCAAAACCACCAGCCTTCGTACAGGGGGCAGAGGAAATCATGGGTTGTTGTTTTTTTTAGTGGTGCGAATATTTTTTTACAGCGGTGAAAGTTATTTCTTGAATGCAAACACAGGAAAGCTACTTAGCAGTTTTGAACTGGGTTTTTATCTTACATTATAGAAAAGGAAAAGGAGAAGAAACTGGAACTCACGAACATTTCAGACTGTCAAGGAACTGGTCGGATTTTTCAGCTTTGTGGTTGTGAGTGGCAAGTGTTTGGCTGGGGCCAGCTGCCCTGGGCTTACAGCGATGCAGCTGTTCCACGCACAACTGCTCAAACCCCAGAAAGAAGAAAAGCGAGGTGGCACTTCTCAGAGTTTGGCACAACATTTGCATTGGATATATAACGGTTGTTTGGTTGTGGTTTTTTGTTTTGTTGTTGGGGTTTGTTGTTTTTTGTTTGTTTGTGTTTAGTTTTATTTTATTTTTTACAAGAAACATTTTCTGGTGAAAGTAAAACCCTCTTAAAGCAGGGGGAGGAAGGAAACCTGTGAAGAACTGCCTGCCCTCAACCTGACAGCATTTAAGGGGAACACCAGCAGGAAAGGCACTTGATGGACAATAGGTCTGAGTTGCCTCTAACATTTCTCTTTGTCTACTTGTTGCTGTCATTTTGTCACTTTAATAGTTGTTCTGTTTTTGGAAGGGGGAATAAGATATCTATTTAACAGCAGGGAAGCTGCATTAAAGGTATCTCCTTCTTTCACCCTGTGTGCTTTTCTGAAGAATTAATGCTAAATAAGAGAAATGAGGCAAACTGGAAACTTGAGGATGAAATAGGAAAAATACCTGTCATGTGGATTAAGTGAGTTATTTTATTATTTTTCATTAAAGATAAATAGAAATCCTAGCAGTTGGAAATAATTTCTCACTGAGTAAAAAAATACGGTGATAAATACAGAAGATAAGAAAATGCAAGATTGTTGTAGTGCTATATTTAGTGTACAGTTTATCTGTAAGATGGGTTAAAGTAAGGGTGCTGTTCCACAATAACAGGTGTTTATTCATAAAGCTGACAGAAGGGGGGACTGTAGCATCTGGCACTGCTATTGCACTGGGAAGTTAGAAAGTTATTACATGACGATGAATAGTTAAGGAAATAGTACCCAAATGGCAATGCCCCCTTATACTTAAAAGCTGACTTTTTTTACAGGCAAAGTATCCAATCCCAGCCTTACTGTGCTTTGTTTTGTTCTATTTTTTTTCCTAATGTAATGACTTGTAAGGCTTACAAAGTTCAGTGCATGTTAGAATAGAGTCCTAACCCCTCTGCTGCTAGGAGAAGCAATAGGAAGTGGACTTTTGTGCTGTGTTGAAAGTTTCTACCTTCTGACACTGGCAGAATGTTCACCACTTGTCAGAAATGGAGTTATAAATATCCAAAACTCTCTTCTAGCTTTCAGCTCAGCAATAACTCAATTTGTGGCAAAGCATAGGAATCTCACTAGTAAGAATACAATAAGACAGTGTGAGTAAATACCGGAGTAGCTGGCAAGGAGCTGCTTTGAAGTACACTGTGTGCAGAGCATACCCTGCCAGAGCTCAGCAAACGGCAGGAGGTGACTTTTCACCCTCAGCCTCCAATTAGCCAGAACCCAGACTCTAGGGAGGGGCTCGAGGCTTTATATTATCGGTTAAACCAAAAGTATTCTGAGGTGCCTATCAAAAAAGAAGGCAGCAGCACTTTGCAGGAGAAAAGTAACTAAGAATGCTATTTAACTGTATTGCTGCAGAGGCTTGGAGATAACAGGATCATTCTATAAGCATTTGCCTGCATGTTTTTTCTGGCTGTTTTTAAAGTTGTTCTTTTAAAGATTGATCAGATGCTAGAATTGATTGTGCTTCACCACAATAGTTTTGTTTTGGATTTTTTTTTTTTTTTTTTTTTTTTTTTCTTTTCCTCCTCTTCAATTCATAACGAGAAGGGCTGGGCAATACAGCCCAGTGAGTTTGAAAATATTCATGTGAACACAAACCAGTCATTTACTCCATTGACATTTACAATTCATTTTGACTGTGAACATTTTCAAACATGATAATTTATGAAATGAATACATCAATATTGGTTTCAACCTTTGTTCTCCAGATACTCTTTTTTATTGTTTTATTGTGAAAGCATCAAAACACCAAAGTCAAGACAGTGACTCAAGGTGTTAGATGCTATGCAAACCTATTTTAAAAACTACTCTGGATAGACTGCAGTCTGACAGGTCATGTGCCCTACTTTTTGGCTAATCCTTGCAGAGATTTGCTCACTCCACATTATTTTGACTCCAGGGGGACTGTACACAGCACTTACCTGGGAGTGAGTCTTTGCAGGACTGGAGCCACAGGTCCTAATGAAGTAACAGTGCAAATAACCTCCATTATCATTTCCCAAGTCTGTTTTATTCCTCTTTGCGTCGTAGATTAACAACTTAACCATGAGCGCTTGTGGGAAACCTGGAAATACAAAAGGAAGGCTACTTCTTTGTTACATATGTCTTACATGTCACACAATTGTCACACATGGAAAGAGTCAGGCTGTGAGTCCCTGCTCCTGCAGCCTGAAGAGCAGATCCTCCTGCAGTCCTTTCCCAAGTGTCATGCAGAGATTAGCACTGGCTCCTGCTTCAATTCATAACGAGAAGGGCTGGGCAATACAGCCCAGTGAGTTTGAAAATATTCATGTGAACACAAACCAGTCATTTACTCCATTGACATTTACAATTCATTTTGACTGTGAACATTTTCAAACATGATAATTTATGAAATGAATACATCAATATTGGTTTCAACCTTTGTTCTCCAGATACTCTTTTTTATTGTTTTATTGTGAAAGCATCAAAACACCAAAGTCAAGACAGTGACTCAAGGTGTTAGATGCTATGCAAACCTATTTTAAAAACTACTCTGGATAGACTGCAGTCTGACAGGTCATGTGCCCTACTTTTTGGCTAATCCTTGCAGAGATTTGCTCACTCCACATTATTTTGACTCCAGGGGGACTGTACACAGCACTTACCTGGGAGTGAGTCTTTGCAGGACTGGAGCCACAGGTCCTAATGAAGTAACAGTGCAAATAACCTCCATTATCATTTCCCAAGTCTGTTTTATTCCTCTTTGCGTCGTAGATTAACAACTTAACCATGAGCGCTTGTGGGAAACCTGGAAATACAAAAGGAAGGCTACTTCTTTGTTACATATGTCTTACATGTCACACAATTGTCACACATGGAAAGAGTCAGGCTGTGAGTCCCTGCTCCTGCAGCCTGAAGAGCAGATCCTCCTGCAGTCCTTTCCCAAGTGTCATGCAGAGATTAGCACTGGCTCCTGCAGTCCAGCTGCCCACCTGGCAAACAGAGTAGCCTGGCTAGGACAGACAGACCAACTAACATAGCTCCTGGCACATCCCTGCAGAGTCCAGGGAAGGGGGCAGAGGGACAAGATCTGCAGTAGAGCATGGCAGTACTGTGAGTAGCAAGAGTATCTGGGCACATTCCCTACAGACATTTATTTTCCATTCTGGAAATAACTGAAGCTTAGCAAAGCACAGTAGAATACCATTTTAATCAGCTGCAAGGTTAGCAATGATCTGTCAAGGAAAGGATGGAAGTGAGGATGGGACAGAATATTTGTAGTTTCAGCCTCCACTTTATTTTAAGGAGGGTTTTGCTGCAGTACAGCTGCAGTTGCAAGCACACAGCACAGAGCTTTTAGACACATATATATGCCACTGCTTTTAGTCCAATGTTGGTGAGCTTCAGGATAACTTAGTTCTGACCTTTTCCAGTGAGTTTTCCATAGGACTCCCTAGCAGAGGAGTGGAGGAGAGAGAGTGAAAGAGAGTCTAAGTAATCCCCTGTGTCTGGACTGTGTGCTGCCTGTCCCCAGGGAAATGTATCTGCCCTGTCTCCTCCTTGGGTCAGGAGTGACTATCATCCCTTCTCGCCTTCCCTTTGAAGTCCTATTTAGGTTCACTACAAGTTCTAGCGAGTGCTTAAAGGTTGGGCCCTTCCTTGAAGAGAGGAAAATGCTGCAGGCAGCTTTGGATGCACCAGGGTTCTCTGACTGGCAGTTCTCGTGCATCTTTTTCTGGGCAAGGGTTGTAATTAACATGCCCTTTTTATTACAGAAGGGCTAACCAGCTTCTCTGGAGGACTGCAGTGTCCTGGCTGGCTTCCCTGGGCTGCCACCCAGAGGAGCAGTTGCAGCAAGGGAAGGAGAGATGCGGTGTGGTTATTTGGAGGAGTGAGGTAATGATTTTTAAGTAGGGAAATAGGGATAGGGGTTAGTAAAAAGAAAAATTATTTTAAAAATAATTTTAAAAAATGAAATAAATTTAAAAAAAATAAGAAAAAAGGGAAAAGAAAAAGGACCTGAAAAAGAGAAACAGAAAAATTAAAGGGGGAGGGGGAAAGATAAAAATAAAAAGCCCCCCAGTCAGCCCCCCAGCTTTGGGGCTACAGCCTTAGCAACCATATTGTTAACTTTGTTCCCAGCATGGTTAGATGGTTCTCTAATGTGACCTTTGCTGACAAACAGCTCAGGCTAGCAGGGTCCCCCTGTTTATGTCCATTGCTAATCATGCAGGAGGAGTTACCTTTTCATTGCACTTTCTACTGTCTCCATATTCAGGCATAAACTTTGGATCATGTGCACCAAACCTGTGAGCATAAATTGTAATGGAGATGCACCGGTGTGTCATGTCCTCCCTCCTCCTGC